TTGATTCTTCATCCACTACTGTGAGTTTAACCAAAGACACAGGTGCAATGGTTGTTTGGGGAGAAATATCTACTGGAGTAGAGGAGAGTGTAAAGAAAACAGGGGAAAGTGGGTCTGGCGAAGCCGCTGAAGGGCTGGTTCAACTTGGGAAAAATATAGATGAACCTGTTTCATCTAAATAGGAAACCCTCGCAGACCTACTGAAGAAAGTGACTAAAAGTTATAATCCAAAGAAGAAAGGGAGGTTGGTACAAGCAAGGATCATTTTGGGGCAAATACGCTGCCTGCTTGTGACTATGCAGTCCATGTCACTCCTAAAGAACCTGGTTCATCTAAGAAGGTACCAGTGAATAGCAAGGTGCGAGTCTTGGTGCAAGAAAGTGGGGCTAAGGATGCTGAGAGAGATGCTCTCAGAACTGAACTAGCAAGGGAAAAGAAGAAGAATGATGGAATTCTTCAAGACATGCTGAAACTTCTCCAAGCCAAAAACCAAGCCCCCAGTTCTTCCAAGCTTTAAACTTCTAGCCCAGTGTAGACCTTTTAGTGGCCCAGTTTGGAAAGTTTTTTGTTTGCTCATGTTTTCAGTATTTTTATTTCTTTTTATGCTTTGTGGAAGAATCGTATCAATCATCAATGAAATTCACTATTTTTGCTCTAACTGTTTATTTATATTTCTTAGATGGTTAAAATTCTTAGCTTGATCTATGATAATTAATCCATGATTGCATTTGAAGTAGCCCCAGTGGCCATGAGTAAGTTTTAAAATCTGGTTATCTCACCTTTTTTATACAATTTTTTGATGATGCCAAAAGGGAAAAAAAGTTGTGCTTTACATTTTGAACAGTGATGTTTATAACCTAATGAACCAGGTCCTTGATGATAAGTGATAAAAAGGAAAAATATTTCTAACATTGTGTTGATGTTGAGCTAAGTTGAAACAGGACCTAAGCTAATGGAAGCACAGAGTTTGTCATCATCAAAAAGAGGGAATTTGTTGGCCCAAGTAAAGAATAGTTTTGAAGATTGACAAAAGAACTCAGGGATGAACCAGGTCCATCACTGGTGGAAATAGACACCGGCAGATTTAAAGCACGTGAGATGTACATGCAGGAGATAAACGAAATCTGTCATAATAATAGATATCTCCTGATCGAAAAGATTGCATAATTAATAAGGAGAAGGACTCCTTACTCAACGAGAATATTATCCAAGATAAGGAAGGAGTTAGGAGTTGAGATTAACTAGAACTCTTCCACCAAGGAAGAGTAGCATTAGAACTCTAGTTATTTTCTACTCTACTAACTCCATAAATCGCAGGATGTTCTCATTCTACAAGGGACGCATAAAAACAGAAGTTAAACGTGAATTAAGAACAAAATAGCAAGGCATTGTGTTGCTAACAAGAGATAAAAAGGAAAAATATTTCTAACATTGTGTTGATGTTGAGCTAAGTTGAAATAGGGCCTAAGATTATGGAAGCACAGAGTTTGTCATCATCAAAAAGAGGGAATTTATTGGCCCAAGTAAAGAATAGTTTTGAAGATTGACAAAGGAACTCAGGGATGAACCAGGTCCATCACTGGTAGGCATAGACACAGGCAGATTCAAAGCACGTGAGATGCACATGCAGGAGATAAACGAAATCCGGTATAATAATAGATATCTCCTGATCGAAAAGATTGCATAATTAATAAGAAGAAGGACTTCTTACTCAGCGAGAACATTATCCAAGATAAGGAAGGAGTTAGGAGTTGAGATTAACTAGAACTCTTCCACCAAGGAAGAGTAGCATTAGAACTCTAGTTATTTTCTACTCTACTAACTCTATAAATCGCAGGATATTCTCATTCGACAGGGGACGCATAAAAGCAGAAGTTAAACGTGAATTGAGAGCAAAATAGCAAGGCATTTTGCAAGCAGCTCGTGTGTGATTCAAGTGTGCGAACCTGAAGCTAAATGGACCAGATAGAAGAACCAGTTCCAAGTGTCCGTCTTTTATTCTAGTTCAATTTTAGTAGGTGTTTTCATATTGTTCCTTTCAGCTTTATCTAGAGGCAATTGTAATAGGTACTCAAAGTATTCAAGTTAGAGTTAACTTGAAGTTGTCGCAGCAGTTAGAGGTTGGTTGCCATGACGGGATTAGAGTTAATCCTAGGTTTACAAAAGTGTTATGTAAATGCAGTTTTTGGCTCAGTGGTTTGGTGGAGAGTTTGGGAAAATCCTACTGGAAAGTAGGTCGTGGTTTTTTCACCTTTTAAGCCAGGTATTTTCTACGTAAAATACTTGTGTTCTTTAAATTCTGCATTTATTATTCTGCAACAGTAGTATAAGGAACACATAGAAGAACCAGGTCCTTCTATAATCTGTGCATTCGAAAAATTGGAAGCCACACAAATCACCCCTCCCCCCTCCCCTCCCTCTTATGTGGTATTGAAGTTAAAACATCAATAGTTAAGGGGGTAACTTATGTATTTTACCCCCCAAAAAATTATACAAGACCCCATATTTATATTAAAAGCTAAAGTCCCCCTTTTACCCATTGGACAAATAATGTAATAATTAGTTTTAATTTGTCTCATGGTTATTACCTAGTGGACAAAAATTATGTTAAGTCACATCAATGTCATGTCACGTCAATGTCTAGTCATATCAAATATCTTTTTAACATCGGATGTTGATGTGATATTGAATTTGACTGGACATGATTCGTATTTTAAAATTAATTCTACTGACTTCCCTGATTATTTATTTTAAAAATATGATTTCTACTATTTATTAAAAATGCCAAATACTACAAATATGTAGTATTTATTACTTTTATTTTTAAAATGATAATAAATTAATAGAATATCCTAATATTTGAAAAATAGAATAATTATCAATAAATTATTTTAAAATTTAGAAAAACTCACAAAAATTGTAGTATTTAACTAATTGCAATAAAATGATAAAAATCCCTATGTTTTGCAAAAATAGGAATAATTATCAATAAATTGCATTAAAGCTAAATAATATGCAAAAAATTATATTTTATTATTTTTTGACTAGGAAGCTTGCAGAAGTTAATTTTTAAATACGGAGGATCAAAATTGAGTGTCAGCAGCTACCCTCTCTTTGACCGGAGATGATGTGAGAGTATCTGGGCAAAGATATTGACGTCATACTCAATATTGTCCCGACGTGACTGATTGGGAACAAAGGAGATTTTAATCTAATTGATCCAGACTTGATTACTTGCTATATATATTATGAAATTCCAATAGGAGGATAATATGCTCAAGGCACTCCATAATGACTACGGTTCATTATGTACCAATTCAATCCCTCGTTTGAGTATTTGTGCTTTATTTAATATTTTGAGGCTTTGGATAGGTTGGTATAAGATTTTAGAACTTAGTGGGGTGACTTAATTTGGTCCCCAGAGACTCGAATGAGTTTAACCGCATTTGAAAAAAGTTGAAGATTGCAGAAAATTGCAGCAGCACACTCTGGTGCATGTGCCGTGTGAGCATCGTGGGGGCAAGGCCTTGTGTAAGGCACAACCATCGCGCAAGCCCTGCCTCGCGCTTTAGGCGTGCGATGCACAACGTATAACATAGGGGAAATTTACAACTTAGTATAAATAGTCTGGTAAATAGTACTTTCTTTATTCTAAATTTATGTGGCACACTTTGTTTTTTAATCTTTTTCCCAAAAAAATATCATCTTTTTATATTTAAAAATAATTTAACTTAAAAATTCCAAATTCACCCTTAATGAGATAATTTACAGCTATACAAATATCTAAGGCTTATTTTAAACAATAATTTAAAAGTCTTTCATTTTTTTAAACCCCTTATCAATTCAAATGGTACCATATAAATTGGGACAAAGAAAACATGAATTTTTCATATGGGAACACTTGTCCTAAAAAATCAAAGAACTTATTTTAGGGAGAATGATACTCTTTTTACTTTCTACTTAATAGCTAAAAATACTGTTTTTGCTACCCATTTATTTCCTTACCAAAAACTTGGCCAAACTCCTTCATTCTCTTGAAAGAAATTTGGTGATAAGTCAATTTCTTTAAATCCGTACCCTCTTTTATTTGACAATATTATATCTTCCTTAGATTGATATTGTTGTCATATTCTACAAGGTGTTAGTTGAAAGGTAGATTTCCACATTTAGGATTAGGAAGGTACCTCAACATGTTTCACGAAGTATTTGTATTATCTTTCACTACTTATAATGGTTGGAACTATTAAATCTTAATATAGAAACATGGTAAAATGGCTTTCAAGTAATTTAAGATTTGTTCCGGATGGCCTACAGATCTTAGCCTAAGATTTTTTGCTGGAAACTTGACCAATATTGTCCGTGAAACTAATCATTGGTTTTCAGTAAACTTATGGGACAGATCAAAATCAAATAGAAGAAGACCACTTGAACGTAACTTTATGTGCAGAAGATGGATGTCTTCTCTGTCTAAAGCAAATAAGAGGTAACTGCACTTAAAAGAAAACAATAATTTGTCTAGTAAAGCTATCAAAAAGATACAATACTACATAAATAAATAAAAACAACACAAATTTTAAGGTGTAAAAATATTTGTACAATCGCGTCTTTTAAAAAGTCATTATAAGTAAGTTTTTTTTGCACGGGAGTTTACACGCTTCTTAAGAAAAATTAATTAGGATGAGATTTTGACTATTTTACCCTTATTCATGTTTTAATAATTTATCCATAATTGAAGTGTTTGTAGTTTTCAAGGTTAATTATTACTAAGGGTAAAAAATGAAGAAGATAATCAATTTTGTCTTGAACTTCTAAAGTGACAAATAATTTGAGACAACTATATATTTTTATTAACCACGACTAATAATATCATGAGACGGAGGGAGTAACATATTGTAATAAATTAAATTATACTATAGTGTAACAAAAACCTTATATCATCAGTGTGTATAAGTTAAATTTATCCTATAAATACGTACCATTAGTGGTATTAGATGATAAATCTAATCAAGTCAAATTATCTTAAGAATGTCAATGAATGAGATTGGATCCATTGATCTCCTCCAAGCTCAAACTCAAACCTGGAACCATATGTTCAACTTCATAAGCTCTTCAGCAGCAAAATGTGCAGTTCAGCTAGGCATCCCAGATGTCCTCTACAAGCATGGTAAGCCCATGTCTCTTTCCGACCTCACTGCTGAACTTTCCCTCATCGACCATTCCAAGGTTTCCTTCTTGCCAATTTTAATGCGGTTTTTAGTTCATTCTGGTTTCCTAAACCAACATGAAAAAGAACACTACTCTCTTACCCCAGCTACGCAACTTCTTGTGAAAGATGACCCCTTGAGTATGAGGTCATACTTTCTGATCATTCATGATCCAGTTCTTTTAAAACCATGGTCTTGTTTAAGTGATTGGTTCCAAGATGATTCCTCTACTGCTTTTCATACTGCTCATGAGATATCTTTATGGGATTACTATGTGCAAGAACCAAGAGTAGGTGATAGTTTCAATGAGGCAATGGCCAGTGACTCGAGATTGATTTCCAATGTTCTTATTACGGAGTGTAAACATGTTTTTGAGGGATTGACGTCGTTGGTGGATGTTGGAGGCGGCACTGGCACTCTTTTAAATTATATGTATAGTCGTTGTAAAACCATCAGATCATCTAAAGAATATCTACAAGTAAATCAATCCTATCATCAATTTATGTGAAATTTAGCGAAACTCATTTCCAAGATATGTACTTTGATCAATCTCTTGGTAAATTTCCTCGCCCTTAATTGCAGGTAGTATAGAACACAACATCATTTCCACGAAAATATTGATATGTCAATGTTCATTGTAAAATGTCCTTATTCTATGTTGCCCTGCACAAATTATTGACAACTCATGGTCAACTAATTAATTTCCAATTGAATGCACTTATACTTTTCTTTTTGGGCGTTTATTTCTTCTCATTACAGAAGCCTAACATGCAGCTAAATGATTTTCAGGAATTATCTTTATTACTTCTTTTTAGAGTTATATCCTATTTGAGCTTCATCATATTCTGTGATAATTTACAATTAGCAATTTCTGACTTTTAAAATCTTATCTACTCAAAAATATTCATGGTTGAGCAGTGGATTCTGCATAACTGGAACGACGAAGACTGTGTGAAGATACTGAAGAAATGCAAAGAGTCTATTCCGAGTAGGGAAGAAGGAGGGAAGGTGATAATCATAGACATAGTGCTCGAAAATCCGAATGTGAGAAATGAGTTTGTTCGAGCACAGCATTATATGGACTTGTTAATGATGGTTTGCTATGCTGCCAAACAGAGAACTAAAATGGATTGGGAGAGGCTCTTCACTGATGCTGGTTTCAATGAATACAAAATAACTCCCACTTTAGGAACAAGGTCTCTTATTGAAATATACCCTTGAAGAAGTCTTGGCTTGAAAAGTGCGTATGTTTATGAATTGTATTGAATCAACTTATTTGGCTTGGCTTTTTTTTTGTTTTGTTTGCTCTATTAATGAATAAACTTACGAGCTTATGGAGTCTATTATATACTATGTGTTTATCTTGATGTAATTGATATTACTGGAATATATTTATCATTTTTCTTTACTTTGGATTATTTTCTTGACATTGACCTTGCCAATTATCAACTTAATTTGTTCCATTCAATTGAAAAACATTGCGAAATTCACTACCATCAGCGCGGTACCTTAATATTTTGAGTAGCATAAATTGAAAATTTTATTTTAATTACTACTCCGTTGTTATTGACTGTGATGACCCAAAATATTATCTTTAAATTTAATAATTAATTCTGTGTTCTAAGACCTCAAAAAATACTATTTATCACTCCTCGACTTGTGTGCGCAGTCCGTAAAACTTTCCGAAAAGTTTTTTGTGTAAAAAATGGATTAAAATGTGAAATAGAGCTTTAAAACTCAACTGAGTTGACGTTGGTCAATATTTTAAGCAAACGAACTCGGATCAGTATTTTGACAGTTTCGGTAGGTCCGTATCGTGATTTGGGACTTGGGCGTATACCCAAAATCGAATTCCGAGGTCCCTAACCCAAGATATGGAATTTTGAAGAAAAATTAAAAGTTTGAAAGTTTAATGATTTTTAAGAATTTACTGATGTTGGATTTATTGACACCGGGATTTTATTTTGGTTTCGGAGCCCGGTATAGGTCCTCTATAATATTTATGACTTATCTGCCGAATTTGGTGAGAAACGGAGTTGATTTGACATGATGCAGACGTCCGGTTATAAAAATATAATTTTTAAAGTTTTCTTAAAAATTTCCTTTGATTTGGTGTCCGATTCGTAGTTCTAGGTGTTATTTTGGCAATTTGATCGCGCGAACAAGTTCGTATAATATTTTACGACTTGGGTGCATGTTTGGTTTGGAGCCCCGAGGGCTCGGGTTGGTTTCGGGTGATTAACTGATCATTTTTGGACTTGGGAAAAACTGCAGAAATCTGTTTCGGGTATCCTTCTTCGCGTTCGCGAAGAAGAAACTGGAGACAGGCAGAATTGTGCTTCGTGTTCGCGACAGAGGGAACGCGTTCGCGAAGGGTCGAAGTGCAAAGCTTCGCGTTCGCGATCGAAGCCTCTCGTTCGCGAAGGGGAAATGACCGGAGAGGAAATTGCCTTCGTGTTCGCGAAGGGCATCTCGCGTTCGCGAAGGCCAAGCCAGGCAAGCATCGTATTTGCGAAGAGTAAGATTGGACACCACAAATTTGTGCTTCACAAACGCGAAGCACTGACAGCGTTCGCGAAGGGTAAAAGTCCGAGAAACAGAACTTAAGTTCTGGAAAATGGGGTTCGTCCCATTTTCAATAATTTTTTATTTTTGAGCTCGGGTAGGGCGATTCTTGGGCGATTTTCACGAACAAATATTGGAGTAAGTGTTCCTTATCCTATATTGATTATATTTTATGATTCTATGCTCATTTATATCATGAATCCTTGAAATTTTGGGAGAAAAATCAGATTTTAATAAAATCTTCCAAAAAAACAAAAATTTAAGATTTGAAGGTTCATTTGACATCGGAATTGCATAAATTTTGTATGGTTGAACTCGTATCGGAACGAGTGTTTGGATTTCGTAAGTTTTTTCGAGATTCGAGACGTGGACCCCAATGTTAATTTTTAAAGTGAATTTCAAATTTTTATCCGGAAAATTAGTAAATTCATATGGAATTAATTCCTATGATTCGTATTGAGTATATCGAATTGTTTGTGAATAGATTTGAACATTTTGGAGACAAATTTAAAAGGAAAGGTTGTGGTCGAGTAATTGATTAGAATTTGCAAAGCGAGGTAAGTGTCGTGGTTAACCATGACTTGAGGGAATAGAACCCTTAAATTATTTGTTATGTGAAATGCATGTGAACGACGTATAGGCGAGGTGACGAGTGTCTATACGTCGTCAAATTACATGTGTGCATAATTATTTAAAAATCATAAATTGTTCTAAGATACGAATTAATTATTATAATAATTATTTCTTTCCTATTCTTTGACAAATATTAATTCTTGAATTCCTGCAATAATTGTTACATGCTATTTGATTTATGTGTATTAATTGCTACTTGACATTTAGCATATTAAATATTAAACTGCCTATTTTCTCCCTGATTTTCATAATAAATTGCTATTTGTCACTGTTTGTATCATAATTAAATCATAATTATTGTATGCTTGTTGTCTTATAATTTTATATTAATTATTATATTTATTGGGGCAATTTCTTCTATAAGAATTGGTAAATGAACATATTGGAGAACCGGGTTGCACGCCGCAATATAATTGATTGAAATGAATATATTAGGGGATCGGGTTGCACGCCGCAATAAACTTATTTAAAAGTCCATATTGGAGGATCGGGTTGTACGCCGCAACATACTTATTTAAAAGTCCATATTGGAGGAAAAAGTCCATATTGGAGGATCGGGTTGCACGCCGCAACAGACTTATTTAGAAGTTCATATTAGAGGATCGGGTTGCACGCCGTAACAGACTTGTTTAAAAGTCCATATTGGAGGATCGGGTTGCACGCCGTAACAGACTTGTTTAAAAGTCCATATTGGAGGATCGGATTGCATGCCGCAACAAAATTGGTAAATGAATATAATGTGGGAGCGGGTTGCACGCTGCAACGGAAATTGATTGAAATAATAATTGGATATGACCGCTGAGTTGGCTTCAACTATTAAAAATGAGTTACCTGATTTATTTTTATTACTGTTATTGTTACTACTAATGCGTACAGGTTAATGTGAGTGATCTTCCTTAGCCTCGTCACTACTTCGTCGAGGTTAGGCTCAGCACTTACTAGTACATGGGGTCGGTTGTACTGATACTACACTCTGCACTTCTTGTGCAGATTTCGGAGTTGGTCTTAGCGCCATACCATAAACTTGCTCGGATTTCAGCTACAAGAGAAGACTTGAGCTATAACTGCACGGCGCCCGCATTTCTGAAGTTCCCGTCTACTTTAGTTTAGCTGTATATTTGTTTCCAGACAACTTTATTTTATTGAGACCTTTATTTGTATTATTCTAGAAGCTCGTGCACTTGTGACACCAATTCTGGGATGGTATTTAGATTCCGTTATTTTTATGGAATATTCACTACATTTCAAACTTTACTTCCGTATTTGTTTCTTTGTTATTAATAAATTTAAAAATTATTTTAAAATGGATAATATTATTCTAACGTTGGCTTGCCTAGTAAGTGAAATATTAGGCGCCATCACGGTCTGAAGGTGGGAATTTCGGGTCGTGACAGTTGGTATCAGAGCACTAGGTTATATAGGTCTCACGAGCAAGCTTAGTAGAGTCTGAAGGATCGGTACGGAGACATTTGTACTTATCTCTCAGAGGCTATGAAGTTTAGGAACAATATCACTTTTTTCTTACTCTGTCGTGCGAATTTATTCTATCATCGATGATTGAACCATTCTACTCTTATTCTCTCGCAGATGGTGAGAACACGTAATACATCTACTGATGAATAGGGACAAGAGCCTCCGGTGGCAACTATGGCCAGGGGTAGAGGTCGAGGCCGAGGTCGTGCTAGAGGTAGAGGTAGAGCTTAGTCCAAAGCTCGAGCAGTTGCACCTGTTGTAGAACCTCAGGTGGATCTTCAGTGGGGAGGTTCCAGTTCAGAATGTACCAGTTGGACCAGTTCAGGTCCCGGAAGGATTCATAAACACTCTAGTACTTCAGGACGCTCTAGTCCGTTTGGTAAGTCTTATGGAGGGCATGGCCTAGAATGGTACATTTCCAATGGTACCATCCGTCTCACAAGCTGGGGAAGGAGCACAAACTCCCACTACTCCTGCTCCGGAGTAGATGGCTCCCCATAATCAGGCTTCAGCAGCCCCGCCAGTTGGGGTAGTTCATCCAGTTATTGCGGCACAGACCGGTGATAGGCCCGCTATGTCTTTTGAGGCCTTATTGAGACTGGATAAGTTTACTAAGCTCTTTTCAGTTCACTTCAGCGGTACACCTCCTGAGGACCCACAGGATTATCTTGATCGCTGCCATGAGGTACTGCGGAACATGGGTATAGTTGAGACCAATGGGGTTGATTTTGCTGTATTTCAGATGACGGGTTCCGTCAAGAGATGGTGGAGAGATTATACATTGACCAGACCAGTTGGATCGCCTGCACTTACCTGGGAGAAGTTCTCTCAGCTATTTCTGGAGAAGTTCTTTCCTATCAGACTGAGAGAGGATTTTCGCAAGCAATTTGAGCGTCTACAATAGGGTAGTATGATTGTTACTCAGTATGAGTCCCGTTTTGTGGATTTGGCCCGTCATGCTCTCCTTTTACTACCTACTGAGGGAGAGAGAGTTAGGAGGTTTATTGAGGGACTCGCTTACCCTATCAAGCTTCAGATGGCCAAGGAGACCGGAAGTGAGATTTCTTTTCAGGCGGTTGCTAATGTCGCGAGGAGGATCGAGATAGTTCTTGCACAGGAGAGATGGCAGAAGTCCGATAAGAGGCCTCGTCAGTTCGGTGGTTTCAGTAGTGCCTCGTCTGGAGGCAGGGGTAATTTTGGTAGGAGTCATCCTCCCAGACCGTTTCATTCAGCACTTCATGCATCTCACGGTGCTTCAGGGAGTCACAATTCTATTATGCCTTACTATGGGCAGCCATCATTCAGTGCACATTCAGCTCCTATCAGTGCACCACCACTCCAGAATTACTACAGTGGTTATCCGACCCTTCTGGGTCAGCTTCAGCTTCAGCAGCCACGGCATCAAGATCGGTGTTATGAGTGTGGGAACATTGGTCACAACAGGAGGTATTTCCATAGGTTGGCGAGTAACAGATCTCAACAGGATTCTCGTGCCATCATACCGGCACCGGTTCCTTCACCGCCTGCTCAGCCAGCTAGAGGTAGGGGCCAGGCAGCTAAAGGTGGAGGTCAGGCCATTAGAGGTGGATCAAGCCGTTAGAGGTGGAGGCCAGCCAGTTAGAGGCCGTCCCAGGGACGCAGTTCAGAGTGGTGGGGCTCAGCCCTGATTTTATGCTTTTCCAGCTAGGCCCAAGGCCGAGTCATCTGATGCTGTGATCACAGGTATTATTCTAGTTTGCCATAGAGATGCTTCAGTTCTATTTGATCCAGGATCTACTTATTCCTATGTGTCCTCCTATTTTGCTTCATATTTGGTTGTACCTTGTGATTCTCTAAGTGCTTCTATGTGTGTATCTACACCGGTGGGAGACTCTGTTATAGTAGATCATGTCTATCATTCGTGTGTGGTTACTATTGGTAATCTTGATACTAGTGTGGATCTTCTACTTCTTGATATGGTAGATTTTGATGTCATCTTGGGTATGGATTGGTTATCACCTTATCATGCTATATTGGATTGTCATGCCAAGACAGTGATCCTATTCATGTCGGGGTTACCTCGGTTAGAGTGGAAAGGAACTATTGGTCATTCTGCCAGCAGGGTTATTTCTTATATGAATGCTCGGCGTATGGTAGAGAAAGGGTGTCTAGCCTATTTGGCTTATATTCGCGATCCGAGTGCGGATGTTCCTTCCATGGACTCAGTACCAGTTGTTTGTGAATTTCTAGAAGTATTTCTTGCAGATTTTTCGGGAATGCCACCCAACAGAGATATTTACTTCTGTATTGATTTAGCTCCGGGCACTCAGCCCATTTCTATTCCACCATACCGTGTGGCCCCGCCGGAGTTGAAAGAATTGAAGAATTAGTTACAAGACTTGCTTGATCAGGGATTCATTAGACCTAGTGTCTCGCCCTAGGTGCACCAGTATTATTTGTAAAGAAGAAAGATGGTTCTATGCGGATGTGTATAGATTATCGGCAGTTGAATAAGGCCACTATCAAAAATAAATATCCGCTGCCAAGAATTGATGAACTATTTGATCAGCTTCAGGGTGCCAAAGTATTTTCAAAGATTGATTTGAGGTCTGGTTACCATCAGTAGAAGATTAGGGCATCTGATGTCCCTAAGATAGTTTTTTGGACTCGGTATGGGCATTATGAATTCCTAATTATGTCATTTGGGTTGACAAATGCCCCAGCAACATTTATGGATTTGATGAATAGAGTGTTCAAGCCCTATTTGAATTCTTTTGTGATTGTATTCATTGATGATATCTTGATTTACTCCAGCAGTCGAGAGGAGCATGAGCAGTATATTCGGAGTGTACTTCATATTTTAAAAAATAATCAGTTATATGCCAAATTTTCAAAATGTGAGTTTTGGTTAGACCCAGTTGCCTTTTTAGGGCAAGTTGTATCGGCAGAAAGCATAAAGGTGGATCCAATGTGGTTGACTTTTTGGTAAATGAATATAATGCGGGAGCGGGTTGCACGCTGCAACGAAAATTGATTGAACTAATAATTGGGTATGACCGCTGAGTTGGCTTCAACTATTAAAAATGAGTTACCTGATTTATTTCTATTACTGTTGTTGTTACTACTAATGCGTACAAGTTAATGTGAGTGACCTGCCTTAGCCTCGTTACTATTTCGTCGAGGTTAGGCTCAGCACTTACCAGTACATGGGGTCGGTTGTACTGATACTACACTCTGCACTTCTTGTGCAGATTTCGCAGTTGGTCCCAGCGGCGTACCATAGACTTGCTTGGATTTCAGCTACCAGAGGAGACTTGAGGTATAACTGCACGGCGTCCGCAAATCTGAAGTCCCCGTCTACTTTACTTTAGCTGTGTGTTTGTTTCCAGACAACTTTATTTTATTCAGACCTTTATTTGTATTATTCTAGAAGCTCGTGCACTTATGACATCAATTATGGGATGGTATTTAGATTCCGTTATTTTTATGGATTATTCACTACATTTCAGACTTTACTTCCGTATTTGTTTCTTTGTTATTAATAATTTTAAAAATTATTTTAAAATGGATAATATTATTTTTACGTTGGTTTGCCTAGCAAGTAATATGTTAGGCTCCATTACGGTTTGAAGGTGAGAATTTCGGGTCGTGACATTGACGGCTTACAACATGAATATCCATTTCCCCTTTTGTTGTAGTGCACTGTTGCATTTCTTAATAAACAATTTGAGACCCTCTTGGTGGTTAGAACTTTTATAAGGAAATAAATTCGTGTTCTAAGTCATCCAACCGCATGTTTTCCAGCCACTCACATGATCAATAGCTTAATAAGTAGTTTCAGTACTCCCTAATCAAACTCATCTAGTCAACATAACCTTGCCATTTAGTATTTAACAATCTAAGGCTTATTTCAAACCATAATTTAAAAGTATATTATTCTTTTATAAACCCTTGCCAATTTAAATGGTGTTACATAAATTGGGACGAAGGAAACATGAATATTTCATATGGGTACTCTTCTCCTAAAAAATTCAAAGCACTTATTTTAGGGAGAATGCTACACTTTTTGATTTCTACTTAATCGCTAAAAACCGTTTTTGCTACCCATCAAAAGCACTTATTTCCTTACCAAAATTTTGACCAAACTCCTTCAATATTCTATACAATGAAATTTGGTGACAAGTCAATTTCTTTAAACCCGTACCCTTTTTATTTGACAAACTTATACCTTCCGTACCTTGATATTATTTTCATATCGACAAGGTGTTAGTTGAAAGGTAGAAGTCCACATTTTGGATTAGGAAGGTGCCTCAACATGTTTCACGAACTATTTATAATATCTCTCCGTACTTAAAATGGTTGGAATTATTAAATCTTAATCTAGAAATGTGGTAAAATGGCTTTCATATAATTTAAGACTTGTTCTGGATGGCCTACAGATCTTAGCCCAAGATCTTTTGCTGGAAACTTTGCCAAAATTGTCCATGAAACTAATCATTTGATCAAAATCAAATAGAAGAAGACCACTTGAACTATATGTGCAGGAGATGGATGCCTTCTCTAGGTGTATCACGAATTAGAGGTAACTGCATTTCAAAGAAAACAATAATTGTTCTAGTAAAGCGATCTAAATGATATTATACCATATCAAAAACTACACAAATTTTAAGGTTTACAAATATTTGTACAATCACGTCTCTTAAAGAGTGATAGAAACTAAGAGTACACCAAACTGTATAGAGAACCTGGTTCTTTATCTGTTCCCACAGAACACACACACATCAGTAAGTAAACGACACGGTAGAATTTTACGTGAAAAATTTCTCAGCTCAAGGGATAAAAAATCACGACCTACTCTTGTAGGATTTCAACTTCACTACTGAGCAAACTTTAGATTACAACCTCTTGTAACCTAGGAATTAACTCCTTAATCCCTTACTAACTTGTAACAACTCTATTACAAGCCACTTTGTAATAACTCTATTACAAAGACTTACAACTCGACTAAACCTAGCTAAGACACAAACACAGAGTTTATGATTAAACAAAAGTTTCCTACACACTTGCCTCTAACCTAGCTAAGTAGGAATTATAAATAAGAAGATTTCACAAAGGTACAATATAACTAAGGACATGTGATAACTCGATGCAGGGAACTGGTCCTTGTTATGTAGTTCTTTATTCTTGAAGTACTTGAGAATCGATTACTGGATAGATGCACAGACTTGAGAGAAGGCTAGATTGATTCTTCGAATATGTTCAAGTGATGTTTTGTCTTTGGCTTAATGTTAATATAACATTGGTGACATCACTTGAATGATGCAAACATGTTTGGTACAGGAGCATTCCCAATGAAATTGACTGTTGCACTGTTTTTCACTGTTGTGTGTACAGGCAGCAACTTTACAGTTGTTGGGGAGTTGATTGGTACGGTCACCAAGGGAACTAATGTTCATCTGTTCCTTCTGTTGTTTCTCTGACTCTGAAGAATTGAACTATATCCCCGACTTTGAGACTTGTTGATCTTAAGTACTTGAGGATGTGTAACAAGTTTCTTATCTGATTTTTAGCATTAAGTTTGTTAGTTTATCAAAACATAACAGGGATGCATAGAACCTATCACTAACGTAATTTTATAAATTAAAAGTATGATAAGCAACATTGTAATCAATTAAATTATATTGATAGTGTAATAGAACCCTTATATCATCAGTGTGTATAAGTTAAATTAATCTTATAAATACGTACCATTAGTGGCTTTAGATGACAAATCTAATCAAGTTTCTCTTAAAAATGTCAATGAATGAAAATGGATCCACTGACTCAAACCTGGAATCATATGTTCAACTTCATAAGCTCTTCAGCAGCAAAATGTGTAGTTCAGCTAGGCATCCCAGATGTCCTCTACAAACATGGTAAGCCCATGTCTCTTTCTGACCTCACTGCTGAACTTTCTCTCATCGACCATTCCAAGGTTTCCTTCTTGCCAATTTTAATGCGGTTTTTAGTTCATTCTGCTTTCCTAAACCAACATGAAAAAGAACATTACTCTCTTACCCCAGCTAGTCAACTTCTTGTGAAAGATGACCCCTTGATTATGAGGTCATACTTTCTGATCATTCATGATCCAGTTCTTTTAAAAGCATGGTCTTCTTTAAGTGATTGGTTCCAAGATGGTTCCTCCACTCCTTTTCATACTGCTAATTGTGAATACTTAATTTTTGTACTGTTTTAACACCTCCTAAAATCATTAGTGTTTTGTTACTTTAATTATATTTCTCAATTTTTGTATATTTGATTGCATATTTCCTATCATAAAAATACCAAAAAATGATTCTTTCTTTATTTGTGCATTTTAGGAATTAACTAACTATTCAATTGGTGAATTAATATAGTTAATTGATCATTTGAATAAGTTACTTAATTAATTTATTTATTTGTGTAAATTTAGGTTAATAAGTAGGATTAAGAAAGAAATTGGGCCAAATTTAAAAGAAAAAGTGGCTAAAAGTGCAAGATAAGGGAGTGCCCTTGAAAGGGTCCGAAACGACGTAGTTTTGCCTCAAAACTACGTCGTTTCATTAAGTGACCCAAGATCAAATCTCACTCATTGATCACCCCTTGATCTAATGGTCCATATTTGATCTCTCAAGAGGTATTTAAAGCCTCAAAAATCTGAAAAATTCCCTCATGTCTCCCATAACTCTTTCTCTCTTCTCTCCGCCGCCGCCACCGAAAATCACCCACCGGCGGCGTCCAACCTCCAAACACCCCCAAATTCACACCATATAATCTCTACAACCTCCTCTTTCCATATCTCCAAACCAAATCCTTCAAAACCTCCTCAAACGCCTTCAATTGTAGATCTAGGAAACTTTAGCAGCCACTTTTTTGCCCAAAATCTTGAAGTTCCGGCCACTACCACCCCACAATACCTACATCAACGGATAGAGCTCATCAAGACCTACCTATCGATGTCAATTCCATCCCGAAAATCCGGCAACTAAAAATCCGGCCAAATTTCGACTACCACCCCGAAGACTCTCGTTTGGTATACCCCTATTCTCATTTCCTTTGTCTATTTTTTCTAATTGTATTGTATTTAGTTTATGTCTAGCATAATTTCTGATTTTTTTATTTATTTATTATTATTATTATTATTTATATTTTTATTATTAGTTGTGTTTAATCTATGTTAGCTTAGTCATTCATAGTTATTAATCACTGATAATTAGTTATTCATTAGTTTTGAAATAGCTATTTGCTTAGTCATGATAGTTTATGATAGAAGTTTCAAGTGTTTAGTGAATTTATTTTTATTGAATTTGAGTATTTAAATTTTTGTGTTGATAAAAGCTGAAATTAAAGAAGGAATAGTACAAGCTTGGTTATTTTTACTGTGCAAAGACTTTGGAGTGCAAAACTCAAAAGTCATTGTGTGGTGACAAGGACAATACTTTTTGACAGCTTTTGAACAGTGTTTAGCACACAAAGTCAGTCTTTTGGACAGACTTTTGGTGAACCAAAATCTGTCCAAAAAATTTGATTTATTTGCCTATTTAAAGGGCTCTTTACTCACTGAAAAGGGAGGACACTCTATTACACACTCTATCTTATACTGAGACACATCTTGGAGAGTTGCTTAAAGACATATATCTTTGAGAAAAATGAGTAGCTTAATACATATAACAAGCGGAAATTTCAGAGTTTTGTGAGGATTATTTGAGTGCAAAAACCTCGAGAAAAATAGAAAAATCTCTTAGGCAATTTGTGAAGTTGATAGCTATCAGTTTCAAGCATCTTTGTTGAGTTTCCTAGGTTGTCTTAACACTTGAGTTGCTGATGTTTCTACTGTATTTGCTGCTGAGTTTTTTTGTTGTTGCACTGCTGTATTTTATTATTCTACAACCAGGTAAATTTCAAATTCTTATATTGCAGATTCTTGATGATAATAAGAAGGATTTGATCCCGGTTTGGTTGATGGAACATATTAGATCTGATTTTGTTTCAAGATGAATGTTATATTAGTGTTATCATCATGTAAATCTGTTAAAAATTAGTTAAATTATCGTTTTCTTCTTTATATATGTGATTGAAATTGCATTCTGTTAAGATTACTTAGTTTAAGGAAAAGATAAAGACCCCACTTTTAACCATGTTTGTTTAGTTTGGGCTCTTTTCCGTGAGTTACTTTCGTGGTTCATGAATAATTATCTAAGAAAGACTTCTAGCTTCAAATGTTTTGATGATTTGAATTATAGTCAACATAATGTTATACTTAATATAGTTCTGCTCTTTAGCATTGAAATATTACCGTTTTTTGTAATTATTATATTTAGTCGTGGTTTTTATGTTGTTAATGAGTGTAGTTTGATTAGTGCCATGATTGGTGTAGATGAGTAGAAATATTATGTTAGTCCTTAAAAAATAGTTGGTTAAGAAAATAAAAGATAATAATTAGCATGTAAGTTTCTTTTATGAAAAAAATAATAATTTTTAGTTTGGACATCAATGTAAGATGCAATTTGGGCTTAGAAGAATACTTGTTATTTTGTGTTGTCTTGGTCATCGAGGCTCTTAAGCAACATGGGCCAAGTAAGTTAAAATTTGTAGGCCCAATGACAATAGAAAGTAAGATGGGCATTTTCTTTAAAACCAATAAATTATCTTTTGTTAAATAAAATAAGTGGCCCACTACCATGAAAGTTTAGCATAAGCTTACTCGAGTTTAATGTCTTGCATTAGTAAAAATTAATTTTAATAATAATATTTTTTTTCCCAGTCGAACAAGTAATAAATAAAAAAGAAGCGCTTCTTAATTAATTTAAGTGATAGGCAATTTTAGGCACGTTTGAGATGTAGACCATGAGTTCATACACGGTCCTTGGTCGATATTTTTTTTTAATAAAGTAGTCATGTGTGCATTCCCCGCTCCTTGACTTTTCAATATTAATTATATTTTAACCATGTGTACCGGCACATTCTTTGTTTTAATANAGTCACACGTGTTTAGGCGGGAGAGCCGTTAGCTAGCCAGTGTTGTTCTACTACTGGTGACGCTCCTCGGCTCGGGTTGTCCGCCCGGGTAAGCCAGGTCTAGATACAATCTCCTTTAGAATTTACAAACTTAGAAGAACAAGCCACAAGCAATGAATATCCCTAGTAGGCTACGCTTTATTTGCATCATATGCATTTGACTTAGCATCGCTCGATGCAGGGGCCGAGTTCTGTTTTAGGATAAGTACCTTGTTGAGACCATTATGTCATGTTATGTGCTACTTGTTGCATTATTTGGGAGGCTTGCATGTCGACCGACTTCAGTATAAATCAGTTGAATGGACAGAGAAAAATTGATGTGGTCTAGTGCATATGGTTTTTAAAGATTAATTTTCATAAAAACAAAAAAAAAGTCGGTTTTGACCGAACTATGCGGGTCTGATTCTCACCAGATGTGAGATACGTAGGCAAACCTCATCCGTTCCGGGCCCAAGTTTCAAAAATCCAAAAAAAATATTTTTCTTTAATTCCTTTTTTAGAAGTCTTTCTTTGAGACGTCAAATCCAAAATTCCAAACATAAAAAAGGTCTTTCTCCCAAAATTCAAAAAAAAAAATCCAAAAAAATATTTTTTGTCTTTTTAAATTTACAAAAAAAAATTCAAAATATTTTCTTTCTTTTAAAAAAAAGTATTTCTTTCGAAGATTCCAAAAAAAGAAAGAAAAGAAAAATAAAAACAAATCTATCTTTAGAAGTTTTCTTTCGACCAAAAAAAAGAAATTCCAAAAAAACAAAAAAAAACTAATATTTTTCCTTGTTAGCAGCTTTTGTGGGATTATTTGTATATGATTAAAAAAAGAATTAGTTTATTTTACTTTATTCTCGATTTGCCCGAACTACGCAAGATCTGATTCATGCGGCGTCATGATACGTAGGCAATCCCCATCGGATTCGATCATTTACATCAAATAAACTGAGTGAAAAAAAAAAAGAAAGAAAAGAGTGACAAAAATAACAAAGAAAACAAAGAGAGAAAAAAAAACAAAAAAAGAAAGCAAGAGTGAAAATCCAAAAATAGAACACTGTGTCCAGTTTGACAAAGAAAATAACGGAAAGTTTTCGTAAATATGCCGTCAAATGGCGCGAGCAAGCCGCCAGGGTAAAGCCTCCAATAGACGAAGCAGAAATGGTTATGGTCTTCCTACAGGCCCAAAAGGCATACTACTTTCAGAATATGATGTCCATTATGGGTAATCCGTTCACCGAGGCTATCAAAATTGGGGAGATGGTCGAAAATGGTTTAAAAACGGGTCGAATCTTGAGTCATGCTGCCTTTAAGGCCACATCACAGACCGTTCAAAATGGTTCACAGAAGAAGGAGGGAAGAGGGAGCCATGATGGCTTCGAGCTCGAGGGGAGCCCGCAGGTCATTCAACCAATCATATATGCTTCCTACGGTCCCACAACACTATTATCCTCATCAAGATGATGCTTATGTCATGGCATTGCCTCCCTATGCGGTGATGAACATGCAACCTTATACGCGGCTAGAGCATTATACACAAAACAGAGCTCCATATCCCAGAAATGTCCGTCCCTACCAAACTTCATATAATCCCCAACCAAATGTTCCCCAATACAATCCTCGCCCAAGAGAGCCCCTCAGAAGAAATCTGTTCACCCCTATTGGTGAATCATTTTCAAGTTTGTTTCAAAAGCTAATCGGGCTAGGTCTACTGCAGCCAATAGCCCCGAACTGGCCAAACCCCGAGTCCCCCTCGCACCGGACTAATGCTAGATGTGAATACCACTCTAGAGCAGTGTGACATGATATGGAAGACTGTTGGATTCTTAAGAGAGAAATGAAAGACCTTATCGAGGTTAAGACAGTAGTGCCACTAGGGATGAAAAAGCTCCTAATATGATGAACAATTCTCTGCATACTCACACCAATGGGCCAGTAGTCAGAATAATCTGCGAAGATGAGGAATTTGATCTAGCACTGAAGGCCATTACAGCCATTGCCGAGACAGGAAAAAAACTGTCGCCAAGCCTAAAAGTCCCCCATCAGACGGGAGTCTCGGTAGCCAGTTTTGCTATCTTTTCTGTGTCCGGATTATTTCAGGGTGTAATCCGGATGTTTTACTTTATTGTCTTACTTTCCGATGTAAACCTTTCTATCTTTAAAATTCAAAAAAAAAATCAAATTCAAAAAAAAATCAATTAAATGAAATTAATATTTCATTGTCTAGGAATGTCTCTTTTCTTAATCTTGTCACCTTTCTTATTCTCTTTTCAGTTATGTTAATGCAGATTTTAATAACATGACATGCTTGCGGACTTCATGCCCATATCCTAAAACACCGTCAAACCTCAAAATAATGAATCAAGAAGCAGAATGTGTTGAAGATAAGGCTTGTGAGAAAATAAGCAAAGAAGTGGAACACTAGGCCTAAGCCAAGATCCAAATGAAATCGGAAGAAGTTGAAATTCCCTCTCTTTGGATCATTGTCGAAGCCGAGATTGAGGATAAAGATTGGGTCAAGAACCGGTTTGGAACAATTGACTATGATTGATGAAAAATGTATGGCCGCAGTTTGCCACGGGCAGTTGTACCAACAAAGAATGGCCCGTGCCTACAACAAGAAAGTGCAGCCTAGAAAGTTCGAAGGAAATGTCTCCGAGACAACTGTCTATACAGACACAGTCAAAAGGTATTATGTTTGACCCTTTTACGTATATTTAATGTTCTCTGATTGGGATGACGAAGGAATTCATTCTCGCTACCCAAACACTATCAACCCTTTGCAAACCCTTTTGAGCCGGTTACTTTTCTTTGATTACCCTCTTTGGATCCTGGAAGTTTTATGAAAAAAAAAGAGAAAAGAAAATGAAAAAAAAAATCAAACAAGTTCATGTTAATCGAACTACGTTCGACTTGATTCCAAAAGGATACGTAGGCAGCCTCTCTCTGGGGTTCAGTCACACCAAAATAAAAATCTACATTCCCCCAAAAGTTAAAACTGGGGCAGGTGTTATAATGGTTCGGCGATGGTTTCGCCTGAGAGGTTCCAACGTTGTAATTCAATCCAAATCCATTTTACCCAAATCATTTTCAAGTCCTTCCGATCAATCAACGAAAATGTTCAAGAATTAGAGGATACAATCACTTGGATTTGATGCCACCAAAATGAGAGAAATAAAATGAGAGAGTCTTATTGGTGAAAACCCTCACGGGCACCATAGGGCGATGACGAGCAAAAAAAATGAAAATGAGAGAGTCTTGTTAGTAAAAACCCGCAAAGGGCACTATAAGGCGATGGTGAGAAGAGAAATGAGAGAGATTAGCTGGTGAAAACCCGCAAAGGGCACTGCTGATCGAAAAGAGGATCTTCACATCCATTGGTATTGACAATCCTAGGCAATGTTTCTAGGTTTTGAGGCAAAAGTTGTGATGAATTTCTAAGAGTCGGACGGTTTACACAAATCAGATATCAAGTCCAAAAGGCATGTCATGTTCATTGAAGTCCGCATATACTCCAGATAAGTCATTCTTTCCTTTCTCGAAAGAGATACCTCTTGTCTAAATTCATTGTCCATTCCATTGTTTGTTTTTCTTTGAATCCATTTTGGTCTAACTCTGTTCCAAAACTAAGGCAAAGAAGGGATAACAAGACTGATTTACAGGACTTTCGTTTGATACAAGCTAATATGCAAAAAAGGCACCCAGACTCGGCAACGACATCAAGTCAACCCCGACTGGCTATGGCGGCTGATGCTTAGAAATCAAAAACTCTTGTAAGGAGGAAATCAAATTGAAAGTGCCTATAAGGCAAAATGAAGTTGAATAGGTTAAGTCCCAAGTGGCTAACTGTTTTGGCAAAGTTTGAAAAGCCAAAGGTTCCCCAATTCTCAGAAATTGAAAGTTTCGGAGGAAAGAAGTCGAAAGTGAAATTCCATAAAGAAAAAATAAAGTTGAAAAAGTTAAGTCCCACGCGACCAACCGTTATGTAAAAGTTGGAAACATCACTCCGGGGCCAGAAATGCAAGTGGTATTCAGGAAACATCTAGTGGTAGGTTGAAATCATCATCAAAAGAAAGATGGGCACAAAGCCAAGCTGCCAAAGGCATCAAGGCCACAAATCGACCACCACTTTTTAAAACTAACATTTTTTCTTTATTTGTAGTAGGAACAAAGTAGTGCAGAATGTCGATTCCTAAAGGACGAATGTCACCAAAGGTAAGTTTCTACAAAATCTCCATTTTCTTTTATTTTCAGCATGCATCACTATTGTTCATATAGATCATTTTG